TTTAATTTCTGAGCATTTTTGTGTAAAGTCGTACAGATGAATGATAAAGACAGCATGGTCATATACTTGCCTGTGTAAGGGCACACAGTGTCCACTTCTGATGGCTGTGCTTACAGTCCTTCAACTTCACAATGGTGCAGAGATCATCAATGTCCTGCCGAAATCGTGCTTGGAATTTTGAGCTCAGATCTTCCCCCCACCCTTCCCCAGGGATGATGGGAGCAGTCAGCCACCTGTGCTGTGTATGGCTGAGCTGAGCGGCTCATATGGTTCTGTAGGTTCTGTGATGGGTGCAGCTGATTGCTGGCAAGCACCTCTTGTCAGGTTAATTGACAGCACACAAGACAGTGGTAAAATGTCCCAGCCTTCCTACTTGCTCTCATGCCAATCAAGTTAATTGAATGCACAAAACTGGCACCAGAGGCCCCTGATGTGTGCCCTACCCCTCATCCCTTCTAAGCAGTTCAAGGTCCGGGAAAGGCTCTGCAGGCTCTGCACTTGGCCCCTCCTGCCTCCTCTTGTACTACGTTTGGCTAGTTAACTACAGGGAAACTTTGGGCCCTTATAGCTCCCTTCCTGTCTCCTGCACTTAATAGTTGAATGTATGAAAACTTTGTTCTGTACAGCTCTCAATCTAATTGGAGGATGAGACCTTAAAAACCCCTCGCATCTGCTGTTAGAAACCCCTGACCTCTGCTGTATGGCACAGTGGCTCCTGGAGTGTAGTGGGAACAGCTGTCACCAAGCTTGGGCAATAAAAGACTCCTAACATCCTACATTGTATCTGGCATGATTTCTCTCATGCTCCGCAACAGTTTCAACATTTGAGGGTTTTACTGGACAATAAATTGAGGAGCCTCGTGTGCTATGAATCGAGAATTGATTTTCTCTATGGTGTGAGGTAGGGTTCACATTCCCAGCACCATCTATGGAAGAGAATACACTCCCATGTCTGTCACAAACCTCTAAGTCTCTTCCTCTGCAGGAGGTGCCTCCTTGTTGCATTTTAGAAGGAAGATCTACCTGATAAATGGATACAATTGGTTTTTTTGGGGGGCAGGACATCTTGTTTTGTAGGGTTTTATTTGGTTTGGAATATTGAAATACATGTTAAAAAATATACTTGTTGTTTGGTTGGTAATTAATGATACAGAATATTTACCTAAATCCATCTATTTGATAAGTTGGGAACTAAGTCTACATTACTGACCATGGTTTGGATTAAACAAACAAACAAATATGCAGGTGCTGCAAAGCTAAAAGTCTCAGGGTTCCTAGGCCCCAGTTTTCTGGCTCCAGTTCATAGTCTAGACTTTCTGCCTGGTAGTTTTCAGGGAATTATCACCCAAATGCCTGTCAAATTTGAAAACACTGTAAAGATGTCATCTGGAGTGAAATCTTTGCTTAGATAGCCAAGTTTCACATATTCAAACAAGCGAGGATATTGCAAAAAGTTCATGAGGAAAATAGAATTAAAAGATACATTTATTTTGGTGCAAAAATGCAGAATCCTTGCATAGTTTTTTCATAATATACCTTTTCCATGAATGCCCTCCAGGGAAATATCCTCTTCCCTGAAGATTCTAAGGTCATGGGCATGCCTTTTTGTGGGCTGAATTTTTGCCCTTAGCTGTGTAAACAGGGCATCTTGAGCTGACGGCCACAGTGAGTAGACCATGGGACCCCACCTGTTCATTTTTAGCAGCATGGCCGAAGAAGGAAACACTTTGAAATTCTCACTGGAGAGAGATGTGTACATTTTTTTTAGTGGTTTTCTTCTGATACAAGCTGTCTCCTAGCCATCACGGGATGTGTGTTGGAGGGTCAGCTGTAAATCCCACAGTGCATCGCTTCTAACCCCTGACTTCTGCAGAGATGGGGGAAATGGAAAAGAGTGTCACTTCGATGAGGCCTCACGTTCTCTGTTCGCCTTGGTGAACAGTGTCAACCTGGTCCTCTCCAGACACCTGCCTCTGACAGCCAGTGACATTGGCATCATTCTGCCCCTCCCAAGTAGCGTTTGCTCCATGACAGGTGACAGAAATAGTCTCATCCAGGAATGAATTTCTTTCTAAAGGCAAAACAAAGCAGAGAAAGAGAGAGTACGCTGAGGAAATGCTACGCTACTGAGGAACTTTTTGAACAAAACCACAAGACAGTACATTCAATGACTTTCTCTCCTTCAGGAGCCAGCCAACAGTGATTCACCCCGGGGTCTAGGAAAGTACATATTAACTCACTGTGTGACTTTAAGAGGTGCCATTTACCCTCCTGAGCCAACAGGCTACTTTGCAGATGTTAGAATTCATTAACACAGACTCCTACTTCTAATTCTAAAATCCGGAGATAGAAAGTTGGCAAAGAATAAAGAGGAAGGCGGTGAAAACTTTATGATAAAGAAGATTGAGGCCAGCCCATCATTTGTACTGGGCCTGGATTCTTCTCCCTCCTCCTCTTCCTCTTCCCTCCCCCCTTCCAATTTCTGTTTTTACCAAGCTGGTAAGCTCGAGACAGTCTGTGAAACTTTGAACTTCCTGGCTTCTGTTGATTTGTGTCAATATTTTACTGTTACTCATGTGAGTGGGAGCTGACATACATCTCTTGAAAACTTCTCAAGAAGCTAATAGAATCCTCACAGTCCAACTTTCCCGTGGTTATCATAACATCGACCATAGGAAAAAGACTTCTATATTCAGCCCGCCGCTCTTCCAGCTACACTGCAATTTAAAAGTGCTAAACCCACTTGTTTAAGCCTTCACCAAGAGACACTCCCTCCTCTTAGAGAGTCATAAATGTCCACATGGATTGAGCCACAGATAGACACAAAGTCCTTTGCAAAGATATTGACAATTGCATAAAGTTGTGGCTTTGGGAGACTTTCAAAGGATCCATAGTTCTGAGAGCAACCTGGAAGAGACACACATGTGGACACCCCCTCTCACAGTCGGGGCATTGGATGGAATGGTGACTGCCCAGGACCTTGGGAGTTTTATGGAGCTTAGAGTGACAATCGTGATGTGGCCATGGAGGGTGACTGTCTTCCAGGGGGCTTTCCAAGTGGATGGGGAAGAGCTCATTGAAGGCTTACAAAGCAGTGGATGTCTGTCGGAGTCTTGCTTCCAGGCTCTCAGATGACTCTTGTCCACTGGGGTGCATCTGATGGAATTTCAGAAGGAGCCAAGCCACCGCTTCTTACAGCCTCTTTGTGGGGGTCCTCGCCAGCTGCCCCGAGCTGGGGCCAAGAGGCATGCCTGCTTCCACCACGGCTTTCCTACTCAGGGTATGGAGTAACTTCTGCTTGCCAGCCTGGATAGAGAAGATTTTGATGAGATTTAATAAAAAATAACACCAAAGGAAACCCAATGACCTATTTAAAGTGCAAAATAGAAACTTCCTCTCCCATACTTGACAAAACTTTTTGTTCAAATCCTAATGGCCCTTTATTTATTTTTTTTTTTTAAGTTTTAATACAGGACTTTTCACGAGAGAAATTCATATTCAGAAAAAATAACCAGAGAAGTTGCAAATTTTTTTCCATTTATTTTAGATTTTCATTCCATTTCCATGATTTTATGAAGCACCTTTTATGAACTGGATTCAATCTGAGTCTTCAATGGCAGAGCTAGTTGAACTTTCTCTTTCTGTTGAGATTTATTTATTTTTCCTGAAATACAGAGTAAAAAAAAAAGGAGGGGGGTGGAGAGAAAGAAGAGAGATATCTCCCATTTGCTGATTCACTCATCAAATGGCTGCAACAGCCAAGGCTGGCCTGGAGCAAGCTGGCCCCTGGAATTCCATCCAGGTCTCCTGGACAGACAGGAGGGGCCCAGGGAGCCTAGCCTTCTTCTACTGCCTTCTCAGGCATGACAGCCAGGCGCTGGATTAGAAGTAAAGCAGCTGGGGTAGGAACCAGCACTCATATAGGATGCTGGCACCACATGTACTAGGCTAACCCATTGCTCCACAATGTCTGTCTGCCTTTTATTTTTTTTAAGTGTGTTTATTTGAAAGGGAGACAGAAATGCAGGCCAAGAGTTCCGTCTTCCAGCTTAGTTCCACAATGCCTGCAGTAGTCACTCCTGGGCCAGGCTTTAGGCAGGAGCCAGGAACTCATTCTGTGTTTCCTATATGGCTGCCTGGTACCCACATTCTTGTGCCATCACCTGCTATTTCCCAGGATGCACTTCGGCAGCAAGCTGCAATTGAAAGCACAGTGTGGACTAGAATCCAGGCACATGGTTAGGGGACCAAGGCGCGCCCTCATCCCGTAACTGCTGTACCAAGTACCTGCCTCTTGATATTCATTTGAACCAAAACTTTCTGCAAGTTGCACCTTTGACCTCTGCACGTTAGACTTTTCAGTTGCCAAAATGTATTAAATCTATTTTTAGGTTTCAATGTTGTAAACAGATATCATGTGTACTATCTTGCATAAAATCCTAGATCTGCTAGCAGTCTGCTAATGCAGGTGCTGGAAAGCAGAGTGACGGCCCTGGTGGCTGGCTTGCTCCTCCCCCTCCAGGATCCCCTGACCCCCAGGATACCCAGATTGAGTTCTAGACCCCAGGCATGGGCCTTCACAAGCCTCTGTGGGGAGCGGGTGGCCCTGCTGATGGCTGCATTCTCTCTTCGTCTCTGAAATAAACTCATTCCATCAAGAAACATTCCCAATCAGAAAGTGATTTCAAAAACAAAAGCAAAAAATAGGATGCATTTAAAACATGTTTTTATTCTGATGGTTGCACTTAAAGTTTTGTGAGCGAGCTCTCAGTTTAGAGACCACCTTGTTTTCTTTCTTCTTCCCACACTCCCACATCTGGTATTTCGGGGGGTGCCTTATGTAGCTAAGATGGGCGATAGCTTCATTCTGGTAATTAACATGCTTGTTTGAGGTTATAAAATAGCTGTTTGAGAAAGCCCAGGGATTTCCCCTGAATATCTACTAACTGCTTGAAGTGGCATTTTCTGTCTGACTTGGTGCTTTGTTTTGTTTGATGTAGCATCCTGGGCCATCATGTAAGAGCCTGCTTTGAGGCCTCCCTGGGAGTGCTGTCACAGGCCGTGAGCACGAGGGGCAGGAGTGGACCCCAGCCCGCACCGAGGATCCTGAAACACAGCGCCTCTCTGGTGAGTCATCTGAGGGCCTTGGCATCTGGTGGCGTTGATGTGGTGTGTACCAGGGTCTTATTCAAGAGTGCCAGAGTTTCTCCCCAATCCCACACACCAGGACGTTTGAGAACATGTTGTTCCAATACCAGATTTACTTTGCATGTTTGTATCTGAAGTTTGTGCAGGAGTAGAATCTTGGCAGTATGCATTGTGGTTAGCCAGACCCAGGAAGACCAATATCACCTGTCTTCCCTTATTTGTGGAAGTTAATATGCAGGGAGCCTAAAAACTATGGAGCTGGGGCGTGGTACAGTAGCCTAGCGGCTAAAGTCCTCGCCTTGCATGTGCCGGGATCCCATATGGGTACCGGTTCTAATCCTGGCAGCCCTGCTTTCCATCCAGTCCCCTGCTTGTGGCTTGGGAAAGCAGTGGAGGATGGCCCAAAGCTTTGGGACCCTGCACTGACGTGGAAGACTTGGAAGATGCTCTAGGCTCCTGGTTTTGGAATGGTGCAGCACTGGCTGTTACAGCCACTTGGGAAGTGAACCATCGGACAGGAGGTCTTCCTCTCTCTCTCTGCTTCTCTCTGTATATCTGCCTTTCCAATAAAACCAACCAACCAACCAACTATGGAGCTGTCATATCACCTGATAGATAGTTCAAGATACTGCTTCACTGAATGACACGACGAACCCGACAGCACACCCTTCTCTCCCCATGTTTGACCATCATCACGGATCCTTCATGTTGTGGAACCCACTATCTTTGTTTTTAAGAAAGCGTGTGTTTGTGTGTAAGAATGCAGTAGCTACATATGAAGCAAATGCAGTAAAATGCTTACGAAAACCTTGGAGAAATAAAAGACCACCCACACACACATACACTCACACTCGCACAATGAAACTTCAGACAACTTAAACACACCAACAATGAGGTATATGGGTATGCACGGATTTTCAAAACTTTTTGAACTTGAACACACTTATTTATTAATTCCGTTTTCCACAAGCATTTTGAAGAACCCTTGTTTCTTCCAGATATACAATTTTAGGTGAGGTATGAGTGGGCACTCACACAGGAGGAGGTAGTCGATTTCTTCTGCCGACAAGTTTGTTAGCCTGGGGTCAGGTGTTGCAAAGGGCCAATGGGAAAGGCAGGTAGGGTTACTGAGTCCTGTTCAACAAATTTTGATTGAGTGATTTTCCTTTAGCGCGAGCGACACTGCTGTAGTCTGTACATAGTGGCTGTTTCCTCGATTTGTTTAGTCTTTCCTTCTCCTCAAACATGGATTGTTTGTGCTGGGAATCTTCCAACTTCTCCTCTTTCTTTTCTTTTTTTCATGAACTACATAATAAATTGTTATACATTATGGTCCCTTCGCCATGCTGTAGAACCCTAGGCCTTCCTCTGCTCTGCCTGCGTCTATACCAAATAACTTCTCAGTAAACTTCATGCCCCGAGTGACACTCTTGGCCTGGGGTTTAAAATCCAAACACTCTAGACTCTACGTGAATGTTAAAAAAGATTTTAAATGATATTCCAAATTAATTTAGACATCAAGGGACATCTTTCCAGCCTAGTCCGTTCTTGTCATTTCCTGGACACAGGCTCTGCCAGTGGAAACTCAATTTAGTCCTACCTGTCTGGGTGGGCACACAGACCTTACCCATCATCTGCGGATGGCTCACCTGTAAAAATATGACCGTGTACCTTAATGATTTTCAAGGTCTCTTTCAAATTTAAAATTCAGTGCCAACTAGTGAAAGTCATTGAGCACACCCTTTACTTCTTACTCTTCATTAGCCATCATCTGTGGAAGAGCTCGCTGGGCCAGGCAGTGTGGAGGAAAGGTGGCCCAGCCCCTGCGATCCCTTCTCTACACTACCACCTATCGTATCAACCGAGATGAGGGAAATATGGCAGTGGCTTCTGGCTATTATATTCAAATTAATCAGATAGAATTTAAAAAAATTATTTCATTTATTTGTGTATCTATTTTAAAGATTTATTTATTTTTATTACAAAGTCAGATATACAGAGAAGAGGAGAGACAGAGAGAAAGATCTTCCGTCCGATGATTCATTCCCTATGTGGCCGCAACGGCTGGTGCTACGCCAATCTGAAGCTGGGAACCAGGAACCTCTTCTGGATCTCCCACGCAGGTCCCAAAGCTTTGGGCCGTCCTCAGCTGCAGGGAGCTGGATGGGAAGTGGAGCTGCCGGGATTAGAACCGGTGCCCATATTGGATCCTGGCACGTTCAAGGTGAGGACTTTAGCCGCTAGGCCATGCCACCAGACCTCATTTATTTTTTTTTTAAAAGAAGAGTTATAGGGAGAGAAGAAGAGCAATCTTCTGTCTGCTGATTCACTCCTCAAATGGCTGCAGTCACTGGGGCTGGGCCAAGCTGAATCAGGAGCCAGGAACTCCATCTCCTGTGCGGGTGACAGAAGTCCAAGGCATCTTCCTGTGCTTTCCTTGGCACACTAGCAGGGGGCTGGATCAGAAGTGGACGAGCCAGCCCTCCGATCTGTGCTCCTATGAGTTACCCGTGTCACAAGCAGTATCTGCACGACAACATCTGGCTTCGGTGGGTTTCTTTGGTATTTTATCTGTTCTTTTTCTTTAACTGAACCTACACTTTTCCTCTCTTTTGTGCTTGTGTAACTGGCTATCTGTCAGCCCTTTAACCCCGTGGGGAGCCCCAAACATAATTTTACATCGAAATGAATGTAGTGTTTCTCTTTCTTACTAAACATCCCCATTTTGCAACAGAGCCATGAATGACACTGTGAATGATGCTCCGATGTCACTCTCATTAGCAGCTGGCGGGCTGCCTCAGAGTGGTACATTATTCGAGTTTCATAATAGCATTTTTACCTCCCCCTAACAAATGTTAAATTATGAAGTGCAGGAAACCACATGAATGCGGCAGAGTGAAAATGCAAATGCAGTGTTATCTGGAAATGTCAGTTTTAGATCCTCTTGGGGACAGGGTCCTCGCTGCAACCACCACGGAAGTTTCTTCACTGAGTTGGTGGTGATCTTTCAAGCCCATGTCTTCCTCTGCATCTGTGCTCAGTGCCGGAGGGAATCTGGAGGTTCAGGTGAGATAATACTTAAGACTGTCTCTCTCTGAGTCCTCAGATCTGCCCTGAATCCTCAGGGCTTGGCTAACTGCTCTCATTTTAGGAACTCCTGTTCACAGCGAGTGCCTGCGGGAAACGCCGTGTGGCGCTCTGCCAGGCTATGCGGGCACTTGTCATCACTCTTTCTGGGTTTCAAGCTGTTTCATGAGTGGGCTCACGGGTCAGCGTTTCCCAAGGGTGGTCTGTACGATTCTGGCTGTGGTTGTTGGAGCTGGAGATTTAGTGCCGCTAGGTTTGATGGATCAGAATGCTTAACGATGGGGAGCCCAGGACATGTGTCTCGCTAACTTACACACTGAGGTTTGGAAAGAGCCGTCTGAGACTAATTCAGCATCTTCCTCTTTGCCTGCTCACACACAACAAAGGGTCCAGCACTGAACAGGTGCCCAGGAAATATTTGCTTGTTGATCTAAGCAACACCAAACCAGGCATATCACAGGCACTCTTCAAATGTCAAACCTTTTCAGGATGTGAAATCAGCATAGTCTTTGAACCTTCAGAAACCTAGTTTTGCCTACATGCACAAGGTGTTTCCCTCCAGCGTAGGCTCTTCGGGGGACCTTGGCTTTTTGTCTTTCTCCCCAACCACAGAGTGTCTAACCAGCAATAACAGGCCCCTGAGTGGGTCTGGCCTAACAGTGGGGGTAGGGGAGTGGGGAACATGAGCTGTGGGGAGCTGGACCAGAGCATCAGGCTGGGAGAAAGATCTGAGGGTGGGGGCCTGACCACAGGTCAGGTGGGAGTTCATCCTTGGCTTCCAAGGCCAGTTCTGCTTGCCCTGGGTCATTTATTCTGAATGATGTTCCTTCCAGCTGTTAGACCTCACAGGATGTCAATCCTGATGGCAGTGAGCAGTGCAGTTACTGCTAAGGGTCTAAAATGGGGGCTGGCATTGTGGCACAGTAGGTTAAGTCACTGCCTATGACACCAGCACCCCAGATGAGTGCTGGTTTGAGTCCCAGCTGCATCATTTCTGATCAGGCTCCCTGTTCATGTACGTGGACAAGTAGAGACCCATGTGTGTGGGCCTTTGTCATCCGTTTAGGAGAGCGAGGTCATGCCCCTGTCTGCTGCTGCTCATCGCAGACCCCCGTTGTTTCATCTGTGCTTTACATTGATCACTTCCCAGTAGATTCCTGCTGCCCTCTGCTTGTCTTCACCTGTTAGATTAGCTCACGATACTCAGGGAAGCATAGGGGGACTCAGGGGTAATACAGATGCAAAACTGCATGGGGCAAGTCGTGGGTGAAGGGGCCACCTTCCAATCCCTCCGTATGCCCAGCAGCTCCAAACTTCTGTCCTCGTTGTGGAGGCCTCGTTGCATAGGTGTGATTAATTAACTTGGTGGGCCACTGGCGATCAGTAGAACCTGCAGCCTCTCTCCTCTCCCTGGATTCGATGGGGTGGTATTGAGAGTACCTGCCCTCTAGCGCTGCCTCCGTCCTTCCATGCTAACCAGTTAGTTGGTGTAGAAAATGACATTATCATTAGAGAGAGGTTAAGGGTGTTGGGAGTTGGAGTGGAGACCAAGTTCAAATTTGTATTTCACAACCTCACAACTACCCAATGCATTAAAACACTTTTTTCCCCCCTTTTAAAGCCATGAGTGGATGGGGGTCCTCTTGCTTCGTGACGGTCTTACTTGGAAAAGCTACACCCATCAGGAGCTCAGTCCGTGCGAGACACAGGGTCGATGTCAGAACAATCTCCATTCAGTTGTGATGCAAGGAATTTGGGAAACAGAAAGGCCTGAACAGGGTGGATTTCTTGTGTTTACTCAGCCAAGGGGTGGGAAGGGGCAGGTTGCCAGGCAGGAGGGAGGGCAGCTGGGCCTCAGCAGTACCTTGCAGGGTTTTCCTGGTACTCACAGC